CTCTGGTGAACATCTATGATTGCCCCTAACCTCTCGAGTGTGCCAACTCCGATCAACAGGGGCACTCCTTTCGAATCCAGTGTGAACACGCCGAGGTCGATCTCCTGAGGTCCGACTGTTTGTTTCAAGTGCACATAGGATTCACTGAACTGGAGGGAACCGTTTCCAAAACGAAACATCTTCTGAGGTCCAGGAATCACTGTCACATGATTTCCATGTCCCATCAATTCAGTCCTCCGGAGATGGATGTATTCCAGGGCTGCCAGCGAGCTCACAGATTCCGTCGCACCAGTATCGAGCACGCCATAGCCTTGAAGTTCGGGTTGCAAGACCTCAGATGACAAGATCTGTGGAATCTCTGCTTGGGGGTTCACCTCAGGGACCTCAGACACATAGGGCTCCTCAACCTCGGAAACCATGTAGATCTTGCCCGAGCCCTTCGACGAAGATGCGGTGTTCGAACAAGACGGACAGTTGCGGAAGGTGTGTGCCTTACTCCCACAAACAAAGCAACCAGTGTAGCCAGCATTGCCTGGAGTTCCGGAGGTGGCAAACACATCATTCGAAGGTCCCGGACTCTCAACAGCAAAGGTCGGCACGGACGTTGGTTTTGCGCCCTTGCCCTTGGAGAAGCCGGATGGCTTACCCTTGCCCTTGCCCTTCTTCGGATAGAAGCCTCTGCTCAAGTTCTTGTGACGAAGAAGAGCACGGGATTCTGCAAAGGATCTCACCTTTCCTTCATAGGCTGCATAGGCTTCCGAAATCTCCTTCTGCTGTTCGGGCGTTGCTGACCACCACACTAGATCATCTTCAAAGTCTGACCAAGCCCAGAAGGTTCCAGCCTGGTCTTGGGTGTAGAACTCACCATCGGCAGCCTTGCTCCAAAAGGTGTAGCCGCCATCTTCATCTTGATGCCAGAAACCATTGCCATCAGAGCGGCTGGGAACTTCTGGTGCTCGAGTTGGAGCTTCATCCATTGAGGCATAGATGGCGGAGAGGTCATGTCCAACCCAATGCACCGTTCCTTCTTCCAGCCACTCCTGAGCCTCGGTGTCCTCGATCAAGAGGCCCCACTCACCATCCTGCTCCACCCAGAAGTTGGCCCTTGGCTTTGGGCGATGTGCACCACCCTTTCCTTTTCCTCGACCATCAGGATCACGTTCGTGTAGTCGAAGTTCTTCTTCTGCTCCACGAAGTCCTCTCTCGATGTCATCAGCCTTCAGGCTGCTTCCGACTGAGGCCAGGATGTTCAAGCGTTGCTGGGCGCTCAAACTGCTTCGACGAAGCATCAACCATCCAAGAAGTTCTGGTGGTAGGACTTCAGGAAGACTCGAATCCATGTCGTCCCAAAGTCGCACACCCCATTGCATGTCATCGTCGTCCGATGAATCTGATTTGTTCGAGCGCGCCTTGCGACCACGACCATGCCATTGGCGCCGGGCGTCACTCTCTTCTCCAGGATCATCACCATCAGGCGAGTCCGGATATTCAACGTCCAACTCCTCTTCATCGTCTTCCTCATCATCTGGTGCCTCGGGTTCAGGCACAGTCCTCTTGGATGTCTTTCGGCTTGATCGAGTCGGAGAGGGCGGAGACGATGTTGATGGCACCGAGGGAGACCTCTTGGGAGTAGATTCTTTCCCATCAGAAGGAAGGACGGGTGCTGCACGCTTCAAAGCACGTTGGAGCTGCCTGTAGTGTTCACGAACGGTGGCACACCATGTGCTCATGCTCATGCCGAAGGGTCGGCGAAGCTTCACCAGCAACTCTTCTGCCTTGGCTCCTGCGTCAGGTACAGGAACTTGAGCAAGATGGGATTCCAAGAACTGAACTAGGTACTTTGCACCATCTTCTTTGACCAACCTCTCATGGCTGATCTCTTGGGTGATCGTCCAGGCACGTCCCGTCAACTGGGACACAAGATCTGCTGCAAGATGCTTCCGGTGCTTCTTCTTGGTGCGGCTGAAGGCAAGACGAACTCGCCGCACATAGTCTTGGAAGGTCGAGACATCGCCATTCCAAGAGCACCGAAACAGCTTCTCATTCTTCAAGGCACGCGCAGTGAGTCAGGCAAAGGAGTAGTATTGGGCGTAGGGCCGCTGCTCCCAACCAGGTAATCGATGAACTCAATCACAAAGAGCTAGCGTAGTTCAGGTCCCGGAGCAAATTCAGCTCCGCTACCAATCTCAGTTTGAGAATTGGTAGCAAAGCGAAAGGGAAAACCAAAAATGCACAAGCGGAAACGATCACGAAGTGAACCTCGATCGCAGCCTCACGCTTTCTGCAATCCTCACGAAAGGATGCTGGGCCGTCCACGGCCACCAGAAGCGTCCACGCTATGGCGAACGCAGGCGAAAACAAGTAGCCTAGGGCATCGTCTTCAAAGACGAGTGGCTGAAGGGTTCCCTGAGCAAAAACGCCGTGGCATGTCAGGAACCTGCAACGAACCTTCGAAAGCTGAAGCAACCGAACTGACAATTTGTCCCGGTCGCGGGCAACCCTCTGCGGAGATCGTGCATGTCGAGCGCACGAAATGCAGGCGAGAGTGCGATTTGTCCCGGTTGCGGGCAACCCTCTGCGGAGATATCGTGCGTGTCGAGTGCGCGAAATGCAGGCGAGAGTGCGATTTGTCCCAGTCGCGGGCAACCCTCTGCGGAGATCGTGCGTGTCGAGGACGCGAAATGCAGGCGAGAGTGCGATTTGGTTTTTGTCCGCCGCAACCCTCAGCGGAGATCGTGCGTGTCGAGGGCGCGAAATGCAGGCAAGAGCCCTCTGCGGAGATCGTGCGTATCGAGTGCGCGAAATGCAGGCAACAGGGCGATGAGTCCCATGCACGCGCGTATCTGGGGAGCTGGGAGGTGAGAACTGGCGACTTTGTAGTGCAACTGTAGTACGCGGAGTATAGCTGGGGAGCTGGAAGATGAGAATTGGCGACTTTGTAGTAACGAGCGTCCCAAAAGAGTGCCCCGCAAGAGCTTCCCACAAGTGACCCACAAGAGTGTCCCAGAGAGAGTGTCCCACGAGAATATCTTGACATGCTCACATCTGCATATGTACCTCTCCACCTCCACACATCTGCACACCTATATCACACCTGCACATCCACACTGTCACTCCTTCACATCCGCCCTCTCCCTCTCGAGAGTATCTTGACATGCTCACATCTAAATGTACCTCTCCACCTCCACACATCTGCGCATCTATATCACACCTGCGCATCCACACTGTCACTCCTTCACATCCGCCCTCTCCCTCTCTCTTTCTACACATCTTTTCACCTGCGCATCCACACTGTCACTCCTTCACATCCGCTCTCTCCTTCTCTCTTTCTACGCATCTTTTCTCTTAATATTTTAATTTGCATCCAGAGTCTGGGACAAGTCGATGTGAACTATCGGCTTACTCGGAATTGCTGGCAAATCACCTGTCTCGCACGTTCGAGGGGTTCGTTCACGGTGTTCCGTGGAGCAATTGAAGAGTTTGAGCTTGAAGCTGCGTCGAGCGATGACAACGCCGTTGTGGTTGGAGCCTTACTTGAAGTCTCGCTCTCGGGCCACCCGTCGTCTAGTTTGTATAGCAGGATTGGATGGTATTCAATGAGCGTTGCCTGAGGGACATGTGGGCTGGATGGATAGTGGGAAACAGCGGATACTTGCTAGAGGAAACAATCATGTGGCTGCAGCCGGACCTCAACCGCCAGTTCCGGACGGCAGTGTTCCGCACCGGACCTCGACCGCGAGTGAGAAGATATGCCAGATACAACGCCAGAAGGCATGTCAGAAGAAATGCAAAGATATGCAAGATCGAATGTCAGAAAGAATGTCAAAAGATATGCCAGAATGAATGTCAGAAGATATGCCAGAAAGAATGTCAGAAGATATGCCCGAAAGTATGCCGAAATAATGCTTAAACACAGGGCGGGAAATTTGCCAGATTGACATGTCATGGTGGGGATCGCTTGAAGTGAAGTAATTTAGGGTTGATGGCTGTTGGTTTGTATTGATGATTTGTCAGGGTTGCAATTAGGCTTTTCAATCGACCATGTGCAAAAAGTGAACGTGGCCGGCCTACAATTACAAGGTTTGTGCTTTTCTTAGCGAACACTCGGGCGAGCACTTGGGGGTTTGGCAAGTCTTTGGCCCACAGAGCTTGCTGAAGGAACGTGGGTAGACTGTACAGTGGTTTGACGGTGCATCAGCCTCTGGTCAATCAACAATCTTTCCTTTTGGATCCTCTGCCGGCTCCAAATTCGGCGCAGTCTGGACATCGGAACCATTGATTTACATGACCACCTCTTGAGACGGACATATGCGCAACTGGACTAGATACGAATAACACAAAAACGAGTCGAACAATTTTAGCAGTATTACCATGGCAGCTAAATAGCAGGGACATGGCATATACAACTGAAAGTAAATCAACATGCTGAACGTACCATCTTATGCCCACATAAACACCCACAACAGGCGCAAACCGATTAGTTATTCAGGTGCGCCGGAGTGTGACAGCGGGCGGGGCACGCACCAACCTCAAAAGTTGAGGCGCGACAGAAAACATACAGCCTATGCTACAACAACTTCCGGAAATGTAAGGCGAAAGGTCAACCACACAAACAAATCTTCCCAGCGCTTGTTGAAGAAGTTCCTCTTTATAGATCGAATCACATGCTGCGGGGACGGCTGCTTCCAGTGACTTAAGATGACTTAATGTGAGTGAGCGATCAACACCGTGCTGCAGGCCATCAAAATCGGGACGGCTGCTGGCTGCACTTAGAAAAAGAGCCAAGGTCGAAGCTCACACATGAATTTCTACAGATGGTGCAATGCCCATAGAGCTTGTGGAACTTTGAAGCCAAAATCATACCGGGAGTTCTATGTCGGCGTAGCTATTGGATGGGTGGTAAAGTGCCAAGCAACCACCATGCGCCAACCCTTTACAAATGTCGAGCAACCACCATGCATCAACCCTTTCCAAGTGATCGCAAACATCCCTGTGCTCTCCTGCCATTCATCGCGTCGGCAGAGGAGACTCGCTGGACTTGGCAAACGACTTGGAGAGCGGCAGGTCCCTCCAAGGTTGCAGGAGCAGTTCTAAGAACATCCCAAGTGAGACTCAAGTATTGGGTCACCAAGCACTTCGCGATTTTCCAAACATGCTGTGGGCGTTAAACTCGGTGTTGGATGGGCACTGACTGGCATCGGCGGCAAATTTATGACCACCCTTATAGCGCGCAAGTTCTTCAATTGCAAGGGCTCGCGCAAAGGCCTTTCCTCGACCGCGCTCCAGCGCTCTCGTTGTGGTGCCCTGCCGTTTTTCGGACTTGGTGGTCACTTTCGTGGAAATCTTAGTGCTTGATGGTCTGAAGTCAACTTTTCGTGGCAGGCGTCAAAGATCAGAGCGGTTGCTCTTCCAAGTGCAGATTTCGTGGCAAGCGCCGCGCTTTGGACTTGGTGGTGGTCTTTGGTGGCTCTATGTGGCTCTGATTTTGTGGCGCAGATTTCATGGCAGGTGCAGAAGTTGTGAATCCCGATGCGCAGATTTGGCGACAGGTGCAACACCTTGGATGCTCGAGATGCAGATTTCGTGGCAGGCAAAGCGCTTTGTGATTCGTGGCAGGCGGAGCGCTTTGTGAATTGCAGATTTTGCGACGCGTGCAGTATATTTTGTGCTCTCGCATGCGCGCTGTCATGTACCTCACCTGCGCGCTCTGAGTGCTCCCATATCTGTGCTCTCTACACTTGCGCTCTCATGCCTCTGCTGTCATGCGTGTGATCTCACATGTTTTCTCTCATGTATGCATCCCTTGTATCTGTGCTCTGATTTGCACGCTCTCATGAGCCTGCTTTCATGTGTGCGCTGTGTTTTTGGTTCTACTGAGCACAGTGTGGAGCTCTTGCCAGGATATTTCAATTACAATCTAGCAGCTGAGGAAAAGACGCAATGCCGTTTTCATCTTCACCTCGGGGCCATTTGTCGCTGGATTCCACAAATGTGTAACGCAAGCACCGAGCCTTCCGCTTCTAGATGTAACCCGCAGAAAACATCGGCCGCATTAGAGCTCACCACGGACACTTGCTCCATTGGAAGACATTGGCCCAACTGCATCTAGGATAGCAATGTATCATAATTGGGGGTTACAAAACGCCTACCTTCTTTAGGCGCCACACAGCTTAGTTCAACTTCGCATTGCGTGTTCGGCGCCTGGTCGCCAGTGCCTTGTGCCCAACCAGCAGGGCGTGCCATGGCGAAGCACTGAGCAAAGGCAGCGCAGGTTAGAGGAAATGGACAGTAAACTTGTCTTGCGCAGGTAGCTGGGTAGGTATGTTCAGAATCGTGAGCTGTCAGGTTGGGTCTTGAATAGTAAAAGGAGGCCCCCTAGTAGGGAGTCTGAAAAGAATGTCTACCGCCAAAAGGAGTAGTAGGAGTAGTCGTAGTCGTAGTCGTAGTCGTAGTCGTCGTCGTAGTCGTAGTGGTAGTGGTAGTAGCAGTAGTAGTAGTAGTAGTAGTAGTAGAAGCAGCAGTAAGAGCAGTAGCAGTAGCAGTAGCAAGAGAAAGTCGTAGTGGTAGTAGTAGTGACAGTTGTCGTAGTAGTGGTCGTCGTCAGAAGAGTTAAGCAAACCTCAGAAGAGTTAAGCAAGGACCTTAAAGGTCAGCAATACCAAAGCAATCCAAGTTGACTTATTAATCCTACCCGGGGCTTGTGGGCTACCCCTGGAAAAATTGTTTGGGGCAATGAAACCGATGAGTTTTAATAAGGGGTTTTCGCGAATCAAGCAAACCTTAGAAGAGTTTTGAGCAAATATCTTACAAGGCGGGAATAGCAAAGCTAAAAGAAAGTAACTGGAAATATTTCCCTGAACAAGTCGTATTATTCAGTTGCCCAGGGCTTGTGTACTACCACCTTGAAAAATTGCTTGGGTCAATGAAGCCGACCAGTTGTAATAAGGGGTTTCAAAGGTTTTCAGGTCAGAGTTCCGTGAATCATGCAAAACTCAAAGTAGTAGTAGTAGTAGTAGTAGTAGTAGTAGTAGTAGTAGTAGTA